GCCTGATATCGAAGTAATTTCCTTGAGGAGGTTCCAGCTCAAGGGGGAAGTTATTACAAAGACTTTGATCTCCAACACTTGACAGTTCCATAGCTCTTCTCGATGTATTAGTGGATCTCGAGGACACGGTTCTTTTAACGTCCTTATCGCCATTACAGCAACTATCATCCTTGCTTGTACACGAAATGTCGAAAGCAGGATTGCACTTAGTTCCCCGTAAAGCTCTTCTTGGTCTACGGAGGATACGGTTTATAATTTTCAGATAAGCAACACGAAAATGATCAATGCGACAGCTGTAGACAATGAAATTCATTGAGGAGTTCGATAATAGAAGGGTTCGAATCCACATGTATGTAGCACCTCCAAGCTCTCTTATAACAGCGCTCTTTACAGTTGAATAAAATCCAAGTAAAGGAAACCAACACAGAGAGAAGAAGAGGATTATAATAGCAATCGTTCCCGCGACCCGCTTCTCCATACGGGCGTGCCGCGAGGCAGGGGATAGAACTGCTGCGGGGTCTCTGCTGTTCACTTTTTCTTTTCTGATTTGGTTGAGAATTTGAGCGTAGGATCCGATGATGATCATGTAGCTGAAAACGATTAGTGCAATGGACAGCATCAAGGTTGAAGGAAAAAGAACTCGAAGGCAAACAAAAACCACAGCCGTCCCCCAACAGTTGACTAGCATCGCCTTTAAGCCATAACTTTTCATAATCACCTGATGCTGATGCGGTTTGGATACCACTAGAGCTCTATCAACACTTATCGACGCCAGATGAAACATCGAACAACAACACGAAAAGTTCGCTGCAATATCGTAAGCATAGTCGATCTCAGGGATGCAAAAATGACAAAATGTCGTGAACGCCACAGATGTTGCATGCAAGGGCTGAGCACACATTGTGACGAACAAATCCGCAACGGCCAGGCTCAGAAGAAGAAAGTTGGAGATTTTGTTCCTTAACTTTGGCGTGATGAGCACAGCTCGTATGACGAGGAAATTACCAAACGTCCCAGCGAAAACAAGAACATAGTTGATAATAACGATCGGTATTCCATGGCCAAGGGGAAGGATACATCGATCTGGGACCGTCTTTTCAGTGGAATTTTCAGAAACCTCTAAGAGTTTTCTCATGGCAGCAATTAGATATCTCGAACCACGACCCTGTTACTCGAAGATTGTTGCGCACAATGTCAACTTTGTTACCCTTCTGTTTGACATCAGCTTTACGTATTCATCTTGATTCCTTCAAGCAAACGATGCCGTGATGACGGTTGCCAGTCATTTTAACAGCTGTGTATACTAGTTTCCCTTCAGTTTAAACTAGACATTATTGTCAAAACTATCTGTAAAGAAATGAAAAGATCTAATGGCTGAAACTAATTTTAGCAAATTGACTTTTTGAGGATAAAATACAATGTATTATCAAGACAATATGAAACTATCGTTTCAAATGAACTACGGCAGCACTTTCCCTTCAGTTTAAACTAGACATTATTGTCAAAACTATCTGTAAAGAAATGAAAAGATCTAATGGCTGAAACTAATTTTAGCAAATTGACTTTTTGAGGATAAAATACAATGTATTATCAAGCACCGTTTTCACATAGTCTAAATTGGCTTCAGCCTGAAAAATCTAAAATTAGACCTATAGGTTCAACCATGTATAGGACGTAGTCTAACCAGCCCCAGATCCTATGAAATCCCTATCTTATTTTTTAGCCAATCACAGCGCGCCATTAAGAAATAGCCATGGTCTGGGGAAGGAAAGCTCATCTCGAACCTATGCGATGGCCAAATATAAAAAGGCCAAATTTAAAATTACTATTAAAGTACGACAGAAAAAGAAACCACTTCCTTACTAGTTGATCAAAAGGTATCGGACTTTGGATCCGCTCTAAATGCAAAAACATCGGAGAATTCAAGTGTATATTCTTTGGACCTCGGTCAGCTGGCAACCTCTACTAAAGGTGGCTTAACTCGCTATGAAAAGCGAAGCGTCCAGCTCTTTGAAAACTGGAGCACTGTTAGAAAGCAGCTTCAATCTGCATTTATTGAGGCTTCATTCCTTCCAAGTGACAGCATTTGCGTTGTTTGTAAGGATAAAGCCTTTATAAGATACGAGTTGCATGGCCATAAATTCCGGACATATGAGCCCGCAATCGCCACAGCGGTACTTCGCATAAAAGCAGAAAAATGTTTGTTAATTTTACAAAGAAATGTATGGATCAAAAAAATATTTGAGAATAACATTTCATCTGTTTTAACTGGAGAAATTTCAAAGATGAATTCCTAGAGGGAAACTATTCTTGATTCCACTGTAGGCAATCCAAATAAATCCAATATTGTTAACAGTGTCCTTTTTGACAATGTATTTTCCTTTCGTCGTCTCCCTTTGCCCTTGTATCTCATGCTGAAAATCCGCGAAGAAGCGAAATTTCACCGCAGCTGATCGTGTTTCTTTACATGTCACTGACATTTCAAAGATCATTTCGCAAAGTCCACATATTGAGGTAGAAACACAGCGATTTTCAGCTATTTTGAAGACGATAAACAGCGTCCTTTTTGGTACTAGAAATCGTACAATTTGCGAAAACACTAACTTGACGGTGAAATGGCTGGCGAAGACTCGTGTTTCACGCGAATACTTGGCCTGATCTTCCATTTTCTTTCCATTTTATTCTCCATTTTTGGTACCAAGATAAACCTTAGAAACGTGGCTTTCAGACTAGGACTGCTTTAATTTTGGTGTTTTTTACTGGCGCCTTGCGCGCACTGGTAAATACATGTAGCGGGAAATACGAACGAAAGATCAAGTCTACGTTATTTAGTGTAAACAATGTCAGACCTTTTAAATTCCTTAGAAATGTACAAGTATAAACAAAAGATCACAATATCAACTGATGATCATTGTTTAAAATACCTAAGGGAAACGTGTGTTCCAGCAAATAATATTATTTACACTATGAACATTCCAAACGAGCACCTCACAAGCCACTAATTAACTCAAGGATCAGGGCGTGCTATCCCAATACTCGTTTGTCGATGTTTTGAACGTTTCGATTTTAGCCCAGTATTGTATTAAGATAAAGGATCGTTGTACAAGAGTAGAAAATTTGATCTTCAAAAGCTCAAACCTCAAGGGAACTTGTAGAAAGCTCTATTTTGGTGGGAAAACCCGCTGACTCGTCCCGGGCTCAAATGTCCGGAATTTCTGGCCATGTGTGGACCACGACATTACATGTGCAACACATGTGCTCGTACTTTACACTCCGACAGAAATCAGTTTCACTTTAATACTTGAAATATGGAAGGTATATAAAACATATTATTTGTCTCTTATTTTAGAGCTTAAAAAAAAGTTCTAAACGAGCGCGCTGATACATGATGTATTTGCTTTATAGGATGGTATGTTTTTTCCACTTTACCCAGACAACAGTAAGGCTGATTTACACGGCACGATTGTCTCGTGCGATTTGTAGTATACGACTTGAATCGCGCAGTGTAAATGCCCCTACGACTTGTCTACAACAGTCGTACGCAAGTACATTCAGTGAAACAAAATTTTATAAGGAGTACAATTAACGCTCTATAAATTGTAATCCTGTCGACCAATGAAAAAGTATTATTTTATTGAATATACTATATGTTTGGATTGCGGAAATTTTACAACTATTCGACAAGGTTGCTTACACAAACAAGGAACTCAGTCTTAGACTTTTCTTCGTCCGACTATGTCAATTACTAAAAACTAAGTCTTTCTGGGTTTTTTTAAATGGATAGAACAACCATACGTTCAGGTAATAGAACAAGAGAAATGCATAAGGAACTCGGAAATAAAACCGTTCGACAAGGGTGTATATATATACACAACCATGACACACCATCTGAGATTTTGATAGATTGCCTGACATTTAGTCTTTCGGAACACCCCGTCATGTTTATCTATAGAATCTGTGTTAGTCGAACAGTTGTACTAACGACTATACTTGGCAGATTTTGTGTTTTTTGTGAGCACTCCGCCAGGTAAACGAAAATCTAAAAGTGTCGTGCTTGTGTATACAACCTTACGGAATAGTATTATTTCAGAATAGTCTTTCCATTTCTCTTGTTCTATATAGTACTTGAAGGTAATGGTTTTTCTACCGATTTTTCAAAAAAATCGACTCCTGACGATTTGTTTTCTGATCACTCCGCCAGGCTGCCTGAAGGACACTCCGAAATATTATTGAAAACTATATATTCCTCACTGATTTCGGTTCATTATATATATCTCAGTGACATCTGTTCCTATATGATGCGATATATCTTTTAAGTTAATATAGACGTGCATAGTAACATTTATCAAGCTTCGTCAATTGCTTCCAAAATAATTTCGGAGGCACTAAACGCGTATATCTAAATATTGTAGAAATATCTTACGATAACCTTAACCAGATTAAGTCTCCACTGTACACGTTATCCGAACATAAATCTTGCTTGTCAAAATAAAACATTTAACGTTTTTGCATCGTTTTGTCTACGTCTTCAATGCTCATTATATCAGCCAGTCTTTTCTCCAAGCCAATCAAATTCCGCTCCTATATTATGAATTATGATAAATGTCTTTTTAAATGAATTTCTTTTAACATTCACGACTCCCAATACGCATGTTCAGTGACGATGAACAACGCATTGAACCGAGGCGTCAAGGAACACTGAGCACAGATCATTTCTTTTATGCTCACTTTACCTTGACGCCTCAGTCCAAGGCTTTGTTCATGGTCACTGAACCTGAGTATAGAAAGTCGTGAATCCATTTCGAGCCTAGACCAAGGAGTCTTAATTCTCGACGTATGTGAGCTTCAATCGATTCTTAGTACTCTCCACTCGGCTCGAATAAAACCAAACATGAATTTCTAATATTGATTATAATCACGGCATATTCACTTTTTGACTTGCATTGTCGAATTGATCAGAAATCCTGCAAAAAAAATCTTTTTTGTTTGTATAAATGCAGACTACTTGTTCATCGAACCCTTGTCAAAATGGCGGACAATGTACCGTGAAAGATGGAGGAACAAACTACACCTGTACTTGTACTAATCACACTGGAAGAAACTGCGAACTAGAAATAAGTAAGTGAATTATTGTAACCTTGTATGAACTAAATCTTATTGGTCAACAGTGTTCATTTTATTTTCAAAATTGGACTGCACCCTACAGATTGTCGAAAGTTAATTGGCGAGAATATAGCCTTTCCGATAATCTGTAGGTTGTTACCACAGTGCATGCCTGTACTCTGCGAACAGCGAGAGAAAAGCGAGAGAAAAAGAACTCTCGCTTTTCGGCGGGTGAGAAAAGTGCCTCTGTTCGCAGAGGACAGTGCCTACTGACAAAAATTAAAAATTACACTTTGACATGACTTTTTTTGCTAAGTTTTTCTTTTGAACCAAAAACAACAAATAATAAAACAATTTTTGGTTTGGAGGTTTATATGAAATAACCAAGCCATCCCAGTAATCAAGGATCTGGGCGACCTTTACTGTGAAATTGAGCACATTGATGTGAATACAATGTTTGCATTTCATATATTTTGTCAACTGTACTGAATGTGTCCCTGTGTGGTACTTAATTCCCTAGAAGCTGCGTAATAAATATCATGGAAAAGTTGCTTCTTTGATCACGAGGTTCAGATGATGGAATCGGATATTAACTCTTCAGATTATCATATGTTTTTTACTGCGCAGTTTCAGGGGTATTTTTCAAGGTGTTTTTTTAAAGATCATGATAATATTTCTTTCCAGATTGCGTACTATTTGACTTTGAATCTGGAAACCTCGACGGTTGGACCCTGACAGGAACAGCATTCACACATCAGCCAACCTATGGAGATAATGCACTTATACGAAACCAGAGAACATCAAACCTCAAAGGAGACTGGTACATAGGAACATACGAGAAAAGACCCAGTCTTTCTGATCCATATGCAATACAAGGTAATGGACCTACTGGTACTGCGACCTCTCCGCCTTTTGTAATCAGAGGGAAAAAATTAAGTTTTCTAATGGCTGGGGGCGCCGGAGGCAGTCGCGGCCGTTTCGAGTTGCTTATCAGCGGATCAGTCGTCAGAACTGAAACCAACACAGCAAGCGCCAATGCCATGACTCAAAGAGAGTTCGATGTGTCATCTGTCAGAGGACAGGAAGCCCAAGTTCGAATCGTCGATGGTTCGTCAGGCTATTGGGGTATGATCAATGTTGACCACATCGAGGACAGTTATTGCACCGATTAATAAATTTTACTTTTTTACAATTCACGATTTCCAAAAATTCTGCGATATGTGGTCGCCGACCAAGGTACTGGGAACTCAGCACAAACTTTTGATGGTGTCTTACAAGAGTGTTTTGTTATAAATAACATACGAATACATCTTTCAAACTTTAACACTGTCATACATCTGTTAAATACGACATTCGTGGTGATTTTTAGATGGAAAGACTTGGRGGTCTCGTTTCCATGATTTGCCACTAGTCCCTCGATATTGACGGTCGTGAACGACTGCCATTTTTGAAAGTCGTGAATAGTCTCGTTCATGTTCAAAGGTTACCATGTTTTTGCATTGAATAGAGAGGACCAGTGAGCATGCGCCTAGACAGGGGAGTGATGAGAGTGTTCCAGCTGTTGAATCCTCCGGAAATGTAATACGACTCTATTGATTTGGCGAATTAAGTCTTATATTTCAAAGAATTCGTCTTGTAAGGAAGTGGGATTCTCTGGAGCCCCCTTGAACCCCCGCGCACGCCGCTTTTAGAGAGCAATTGCTGAAAGTGTGTCAGTCATTTAAGGCAAGCTTCCTATAGAGACCCTCCTTCTAATGCAAAGACACGCCTACCTTTATGCATCGCATGGAGAGCAGGTGAGGAGACAATAATATAGTCAGGTATCACAATTATATGTTATAATGGACGTAGGTTGTTTTATGCATGGAAAACAAGATAAATAAATTTAAACACTTTTTAACATCGTAAAAATACGTAGATGAAATGACTTACTGGCGTTTCGGATTTTAATTCTTAGTCGGCGTAAAGTGAACTCAGGCATGTTAAGGCTTGACTAAGCATTGAAACGAGGCTGTACTTTATCGTGTTATAACACAAAGGGTTTTCAAGCAATTGTAGTGAAACTTTTATGGGCGATGTGGATTGAGATTTTTAGCAGTTTTAAATGTAAAGTTTTTCTTTTTATGAGTCACGTGACATTTAAGGCCCAAAAACGTTTTTTTGAAAATGGGGGACATCAATCGACCTGAAACTGATATAAATATTAGATATAGTGAATAATTATATAATCACGTCTTGTAATCCCGTCCATCACTATTGTGAATGAAGATATTAAGGAAAAAACAATATGTAAATTAGGTCACGTGACCTGTTTCATCAAATAACTCTTAAAATACTTTATGTGTACAGCATTAAAAGCGTAGTTGTAAAGACCTCATAAAAAGCAACAAAACGGCATATCAGACATGTACATCGAAGAAGTCATTATGTCCACCATTTTCAATTTTAAAATTTCAAGCCAAATAACGGACTTATCTTATCACGTGACACACTCCCAAAGTTAAAAAAATGAGATAAAGGTTTATTTTTGCTGAACGTGATAATACAAACCAATTGATTAATGATGTTTTGAAAGAATAATGAATTATTTGAGTTTTATGGAAAATCTAGGAAAAACCACGCCTTAACATGCCTGAGAAGTAACGTCCATTACGTCAGTAAGTTATTTCACCTACTTATTTTTACGATGTTAAAATTTATCGAGTGACGCCGTTCATACTAATTGAACGAAAGTTTCTGAAATTAATAGTTAACGTATGATCAAATATAATGTTCACACTAAAAACCGAAAACCCATTTTACTGCTGAGTCAGCAACAGTAGTCAAACATTGCACGAATAAGTATATTAACCTAATTTGCACCTGCAAATTTGTCGCACGACATGAGCACCGATTTTTGCGTCGAACAAATCACGCTTCAAACAGGCTGGGAATTCACGGCGATTTCACGACGACATTTTGCAGTTTTATCGCAGCAAATTCGAACATGCTCGAAATTCTACTGCAAATAAACAACGAAAGTTTCAGTTGGAAATTAATTGAACTTTCAATTTGTGACAGACTATGTACAAGGTGAAATAAAATTGAGCGAAAAATTGCAGCTTGTGCCATGCGACAAACAGGCCTTTAGAAGCAAAACAGTTAACCCGTGTAAATAGGCCATCGTCAGAAATTTATTATTTAAACATAGCTGTTATATTTCACTTGTCAAATGGATTTCATGGTGAGGTTTTACACCTGTTCTAATGCTAACCCAATACAAATTCTCTAGCTGTAAACTATCTACCGCATGTTATCGTCTTCTCCGTAATTGTTCCAAATTATGAAGAGGTTCATGCGTCATTTATTCTGGACGGAGGGAAGGGGATGATCAATATACTAGGCAATGAGTAATTTGTATTCAACCATTCCCATGAAATTCAAAAGATAAAAGACCGGCGGCCATGTTGGAGGAATGAACAATAGATAGATTCAAATGAGAAATCCTTGTTGAAGTTCCTGCAAGATGTCCACTGTGACGTAACATGAAAACGAAGTATGGGTGCACTGTCAGTGCAAGTTGCTGTATTGGGTTAAAAAAGTAGATTCTCATTTCTATTTCAATGACAGAACCCTCCCCCTCCGACTTCAATGTCTCCCAATGCCTTTGCCTGACATTCAAACTGACGAGGATTTTGTGTAGTACAATAGATCTCAAAACGTCAATCAATAATTTTCTAGAAACCAATACTTTATTTATACACGGTCACTCTCAGTATGATAATATTGATTACTACGCAAATGCATAAATATTTGATAAATAGTTGTATTTGTGGTAAAACAAAAAACAAAAACTGCTTTCCAGAGAGTCTTTTGTGATCCAAGATTTTAATCTTTAATTAAAATTGAAGAGATTTAAAAGAATGATGCGAAACAATGAATATTCAAAAACGAAAACAAGAATCATTCAAAACATTAAGTAACAGCGAACTCAACTAACAGTATGGCACTCGAAGCAACAAGCGGTCATTATACATTTTGACTTTGGTTGACAAAACCTTTTTGATTGTAGCTTTTTTGAAAGGTCTATAAGCAGACTCGATACTATTATACTGCATTTAAGTTAGGAAAAAATAAACGCTAATTCACGATGTCCCTTTTGGCATTCGTAAATGTCGAGCAATGGCTTAGTTCCTCTTCCACAGAGATACGAGTTTCTATTTTATATTGAGATATCTTGGTGAGCACTATGGGAATGAAAAAAGGTTTATTGAGAAATGTTCATCGGTCTCGTATATAAGTAAAGAAACCTAATCGCAGGAATCTGTGCAAGCTAGTCTGGAGAAAGCAAGAAGTGAAGTGTCGATGAAGTGGAAGAGTGGAGAGAAAAGTAGATCTAACAGCTGAGACGTAAAAGCTCTCTAGCCATTTTGTTTTTGCAATGGTAACTAACGCTGCAACATTATCGCGGGCGCAAAATGGGCAATATTTCTGATAATGTGGGACAAGATTTGAGGAACATCTGGTACCGAAATCCAACTCCAAATTTATGCAGCTGTAGGTCAGTAACTTGATTTCAAAGTTTATCAAGCACGAAAGAATTCAGTTTTATCAATCATGAGCAAACGATATTTCTGAATTGGATGCATGTCAAGAGTTTTGGTGTTTTTCATTCTACTATTCTAATGAGAAGCGCATCACACGTACATGGTATTTTGGTTCTGGTGTAATTCCCCAATAGACATTGAATTTAGCTAGGCAATTCTTGTTATAAACAGAACTCAGAGGTCCTTTGAATTGACTCTCGCATGATGTTAAAGAAATATGACCACGAATGAAATTTTTGGATGATTGAACGTTTTCCATGAGCCCAATTCTTAGCTGCAGTAGAAGAAACAAATTAATACTTTAAAAGTTTGAATATATAAATATTGATCCCGATTCGAATTTTGCATAAAAGCCTTCAATCGAACCGCAATAATCACCATTTTGATGTAAAAACAATGGAAAACTTGTTTAAACTATAAGCTTGAAAAAGTTACGGTGAAT